AAGTAAGTGTATTATTAAACTGTTTTACTTTTTGCCAATCTAGGGACTATATATGGTATCTTACTGTGGTTTTAATTTGCATTCTACTGGTAACTAATGATGTTGATTACCTTTCCATATATTTATTGACAAAATATACTTCTTTGAACATGTTTTATTACATAGATCTTCTTCTCCTCCATTTAATTGGACTATTCCACAAATCAATTTGGAAGATTATATTGTAGCTAAATTTCTTTTCTTGTTTTACTTTTTTCTTTTATTGAGATGGGATCTTGCTTTGTCGCTCAGGCTGGGGTGTAGTGGTATGATCATGGCTCACTGTAGCCTCAACCTCCCAGGCTCAGGTAATCCTACTGCCTTGGCCTCCGAAGTACCTAGTGCTACAGATGCACACCACCACACCAGCTAATTTTATTTTATTTATCTATCTATCTATTTATTTATTTATTTATTGAGATGGAGTTTTGCTCTTGTTGCCCAGGCTGGAGTAGATGGCATGATCTCGACTCACTGCAACCTCCACCTCCCAGGTTCAAGTGATTCTCCTGACTCAGCCTCCCAAGTAGCTGGGATTACAGGCATGCGCCACCATGCCTAACTAATTTTGAATTTTCAGTAGAGATGGGGTTTCACCATGTTGGCCAGGCTGGTCTCGAACTCCTGACCTAAGGTGATCCACCCACTTTGGCCTCCCAAAGTGCTGAGATTATAGGCATGAGCCACCGCACCCAGCCTGTTTTCTTTTTTGTAGAGACAAGGTCTTGCCGTGTTGCCCAGGCTGGTTTCAAACTCCTGGCCTCAAGCAACCCTCCTGCCTTGGCCTCCCAAAGTGCTGGGAAAATGACAGGCATGAACCTCTGCACCTGTCCTGTAGCTAAATTTCTTAAAGCCACATTTACAGCATTAAGTCAGTATCAGAGAACCAAGAACTGAGGGGGAGAGAGGAGATGAAGTAGGGATAGAGAGATGAACTGACAAATCTTAAGTAAAAATAAAAACTTAATGGAAAATTCAGAGAGATGGGAAAGAAGATGTAAAGTTGTTTCTAAAAGATAGGGATGAGGAATACAATCCTTTTTTTTTTCTTTTTTAGACAAGATCTAGCTCCATCTTCCAGGCTCGAGTGCAATCTTGGCTCACTGCAACTTCCACTTCCCGGGCTCAAGCCATCCTCCCACCTCAGCCACCTGAGTAGCTGGGACTACAGGTGTGCACCACCACACCCAGCTAATTTTTGTATTTTTAGTAGAGACGAGGTTTTACCCTCTTGCCCAGACTGGACTTGAACTCGTGAGCTCAAGTGATCCACCCACCTTGGCCTTCCAAAGTGCCGGGATTACAGGCATCAGCCACTGTGCCCGGCCCAATCCTGTCTTTTAAAGAAGATATTTTTCCGACTATAAAGTTGGAACAGGAAAAAAAAAAGATGCAAATTAAAGATGGCAAAAGGAAAACAGAACTTCATATTATTTCGTTACATAAGAAATAACAGCTCATGCTGTTATCAAAGCACTTTGGGAGGCTGAGACAGGAGGATTGCTTTAGGCAGGAAGTTCGAGACCAGCTTGGGCAACATAGTGAGATCCCCATCTCTATTTTTTATGTAATTAGAAAATAATAATAAAAGAAAAAAATCTACATGAATTAGTCACCCTAAAGCCCTACCCTACAAGAGGTGCCCTCTGAGACCTTCATATGTATAAAAACGTGGTATTTGAGCTTCTGCTTCTTTTCACTAATGAGACAGAGATTTTAAATGTTCACTTTTTTTTTTTTGGCCACCACAAAATTTGCCCAATGTCGGTATCCTACCCACAGTAAATAAGGTAAAACAGAATCTGTTTGATGTTGCTTATTATTAAATGGGAATGACTTTTTGCCTAAGGTGTTGGTGTAATCATTAATTGCAAGGGAAGTGGTTATGGTCATCGAGGATTCTGGTTTGACCCAGCACTGGGAATTTTTTTTTCTTTTTCTTTTTTTTTTTTTGAGACAGGGTCTCACTCTGTTGCCCAGACTGGAGTGCAGTGGCGCAATCTCGGCTCACGGCAACATCCGCCTCCCAGGTTCAAGTGATTTTCCTGCCTCAGCCTCTCGAATAGCTGGGATTACAGGCACGTGCCACCACACCTGGCTAGTTTTTGTATTTTTAGTCGAGGTGGGGTTTCACTATATTGGCCAAGCTAGTCTCGAATTCCTGACCTCAAATGATCTACCCACCTCGGCCTCCCAAAGTCCTGGGATTACAAGAGTGAGCCACCGCGCCTGGTCCGCACTGGGAATTTTTAAAGATCACATGCCTTTCTTCTTAAGGACTGTCTAGACAATAAAATTTAGAATTGTGGCTTGGGGTTACCTAATCACAATAATTAGAGATACTTGTTTTAACCAGTTCGGTTGCCAAGAAAAAAATGCCACTAGTTTGATTAAGAAATAAATAATGTTCTTTTATTTAGAATTTGAAATGTGTATAATCCCTGATCTCCTTGAAGAAACAAGGGATATTAAAATATTGAAAACCAGTTCATCTTGTCCTACACAGAGCTGATTCACTAGCACAGTGAAGACGCTTTATACACTAACAACTAATTTTCACACACATAACTGAAAATGGAGACCACATTGTCAAAGAAATAAAATTATATCAAATTATGGAAGGCTGAAAATAGGATTATAGATGGCTTACTTAATTCTATTTGACTTGCACTGATGTTTCCCTCCCAAGGTTCACTCCTGTATACTCAGTTCTCTACAGACTTTTAGGTGATAGACATTCAGCCATATATTTGCAGTCCTGACCTTTGCTTCGAGCTTTAGTCCTGACCTTTAACTTTCTGCTGGGTATCTCTAATTTCTAAAGTCAACTGCATCTCACATCCCCCTTTAGACTTCCTCATTTTTTTCCAGCTCTTCAACAGTCTAAAACCCTGGAATCACCTCAGATTCCTCCTTCTAGCCTATTTGCCTCTCTCTTCTTAATCTAATCAGTCGCAAATTCTTGCCAAACCATTTCTTTTCATCCCTCATTGCCTTATGTCTAATCCAGACCTTATCTGTCTCATACCTATACTATCACAACAGCCTCCTAACTGGATGGCTCCAGCCAGTCTTGGGCTCTTTCATGCTCGCTTCATCTTTGAACTTTGCACACCCGTTTTTTTTCCCAAACATGCCCCACCATGCTTGTCCATTTTAGCCTCATGTCTATGCTCATCTCTCCCCATCCTTTTTCTTTAATGATTACTTACCTCATGATACTTCTTTGATGGATCTCCTTGATAGCACTAATCCTCTATAAGAACGTCCTTCCTTTACTATCTGTGTCCTTCCTTTGACAGGAAGGAAGTGTACAGGAGGCTGTGTTCTTTACATTTTATGATTGGCCCCATCTCCAGAACTGACTGGATTGTCACTCCACTGAACTTAGCCAGCCAAATGTCTTTTTGCACCTTGCTTTTTTCACTTAACATATACTGGAGATCTTTCCTTACCAGCACATACATGTTTATCTAATGCTTTTAAAATGTCTGCTAATTATGGAAAATTCATAATTTATTTAATTAGTCCCTTACTGATGGCTACTGGTGGTTTTTCTGGCTTTATTATCAAACACACTGCAGTGAATATCCTTGCATATTTTGAGCAACTTTAATGTCACAGGAAAATAATTGTACTATCATTGCTGGATTAAAGGTGTGTGTCTGTGTGTGTGTGTTTACCTATAAACACTATTTTTAAGAGCTGAGGTCTCCTTATGTTGCCCAGGCTGGAGTGCAGTGGCTATTCAAAGGCACGATTATAGTGCCTTGAACTCCTGGCAAGTGATCTTCTTGCTTCAGCCTCCTGAGCAGCTGGGACTACAGGCGTGCTTGATATATTTTATTTTTATTTTGCTTTTTTGAGATGGAGTCTTGCTCTGTCGCCCAGGCTGGAGTGCAGTGGCACGATCTCGGCTCACTGCAACCTCCACCTCCCAGGTTCAAGCCATTCTCCTGCCTCAGCCTCCCAGTATCTGGGATTACAGGTGCCTGCCACCACACCTGGCTAATTTTTATATTTTTTAGTAGAGATGGGGTTTTGCCATGTTGGCAAGGCTGGTCTCGAAACCCTGACCTCAGGTGACCCTCCCACCTCAGCCTCCCAAAGTGCTGGGATTACTGGCGTGAACCACCGTGCCCGGCCCACCTGGTAGATTTTAAATTTGTACATAATAGAATTATCTTTTAAAATAATTTTCACTGTCTACTCCCATTTTTGATATTACTAATTTTCCTACCACTCAAGATTAGGACATTGACAGTGGGAGCTTTGCTTATTGCGGCTTATCTCCACGAATTTAGCGCTGGAGAGAAAACGTAAAGCCAGAAGAAAAGAGCATTTTGAAAGCCACAGAATAGGCTCTTCAGAGGCTAGAACACGGTTCCAGACTAGGGCAATATGGCGTCCTGGCCACCGGATTGCATCATCTTTCTTTGCCAAGGATCATCTGGAGCCCAAACCAAATCTAAATGTGTCCACCTCTAAAATGGGGATAATCTTCATGTTTCTTTTCCTTTTACAGATATAAATGCAATTTCATTGTCTTGACCATTAGGAATTCTCTGAAGGTCTGTTACTACATAAATGGTGTGAACTCCGAACAGCAGAGTTCAAACTTGATCAAAACAAAAAAGGCTAGAGAGTGGCAACTCTCCTTTCCGTCATTTTAACGGCTTTTGCATGACCAAATGTTTCCTGTGCCAATCAGTGGGGAAGCAGCAGCGAACTTGTCTCTTAATTGCTTTAGAGTTCTGTTTGTCTATTTAGCGTTTCTTTTTGAAGTCTGAAGATTTATGGAACAATAAACGTCATTTAATGCTGCGTGCTGTTTTGGATTCCTCACTGGTTTTAGAATTTGGGTAAAACTACTTAGCCGAAAGTTTAACAAATTTGAAATTACAAATATTGTAGAATAGAAAAGTTCACCTCAGTGACATAAAATTACGGCAGCAGCAAAGTTTGTTACTTTTTTTTTTTAAAGTAATAAGATGTAGACATTTTAGTATAACAAATGTTTTCAACTTGTTTGGGAAAAAATAAACTAGGAAGCAAGGTTTAAATAAGAATGGTTTGGTTTGGTTCTGAATGATGTTGTTAGTACACCACAATGCAAGCGCTGGCTATGCATTTGGGCCAATTTAGAGAAGTCCACAGCAACGCACATTTGCTCAGTAGTGTAAGAGATTATTTGTAGGTAGGTCCCATCTTTTTTACAGTATTCAAACATTCAACCTTAAGACCCCATAAGGGCGTCTCATTCCACCGAGAACTAGAGAAGCTTGACTTGTGCGATCACCTCCTTATTCATGGACTGGGGCGGAACACAGATCCGGAGGAGGGGGCTTCTCTGCACCAAGCGCAAAGCCTACCTTCCAGAAGGCTGGCTGCACAAGCGGCCGCCCTAAAGGCGGTCAAAGCGGGCGAATTCGCCGCGATGCCTTCCTTCCCTAACTCCGGCCCACTCTGGTTGCTCCTTCCCAGGTGCTCCAAGCTCTCCAGAGGTTCTGGTGATTTAAAGTTTCCGCGTCACGCCCAGACTGCGCTAAGGGCAAATATCACCCCTTTCCCCTTCTAGGACCCCTCCCGTGAAGTCTGTGCCAACCCTGAGCCTCTTCACCTTCGAGATTGGCCGCAGATACCCCGACGGAATGGCCTGGGGAGCCGAAAGCCGTCCCCAGCCCCGGACAACCACTGCCCAAGCCGCTCAGGCCAGCCTCGCACAGTAGCGCGTCTCCTTCCCGGGACTCCCTCGCCGGCCTGTGAACCCGCAGGCGGAGGCGGAGGTCGGTTCAAACCCTGCGAGAGCCCCTGCCCAGCGCCGAGTCCTGCACACGGTGGAAAGTCCTTTCGCATTAGCGGGCAGGATTAAACGACTTCACACCACGAGGTGCAAGACTGGGCTTCGGGGCCTTCCTCGGTGTTGCTATTTTAAAAGAAGCTGCTCAGTAACCCAGAAGAAGATGACGGGGGACGGTGGTGTAGACCCGGCTGGAGAGGAGTCCAGGGCCTGGGAGGCGCCCCTCAGGCTGAGGGGCTGGGGACCCTGAAGCTGGACGTCCAGAACCCGCTAGCGCTGCTCCCGGCATTGTCCCGCCTGGGGCAGGCGTCCGGTCCCTCGGCAGTGCCGGCCAGCACGTAGTAGCTGCTGAATAAATAAATGCCTGTGCAACAGGGAACGTCCCGGCCCACCCGGGCCGGGTCAGGGCCTACGAAGGGCTGACGTCCGGTGCCGCCGTGGGTCCCTCCGGCGTGGCCGCCCACACCTCCTGGCCACGGCGGGGCTGCGGTGGGGGGACATCCTGGGGCGGGCGGCTGGACGGAAGGGACTGGACTTGGGGCGCGTCCACGGCCAACTGCCCCGAACCCAGTAGGGGAGGCCAGGGACCGGGAGCCTCTGGGGCCCCGCGCCTGGAGCGCCCGGACGCGAAGGGGCGGCGGGTGGCTCCGGGCGCGGCGCGGGCGACTCCGGGGCCGGACGGGAGTTCCTCCGCTTTCCGCCGCGCAGCCCGCGGTCTCCGCCGAGGTCACCAAGGGCCAGGCGCCCTGCGGAGGCCCCGCCGTCCCGGACCCACGGACGCGCTCCCGGGGCTTGGCGTTTTCCCACCACCCCGGACCGCCCTTGGGGTGCCGGAGGGGCTCGGGGCACGGCGTGGGGAGCCTTTGTGCCCTCTCCGCTTGTTGAGGTTTTTTCTCCCGAGGAGAGCTCCCCCTCCAACCCTCTCCTCTCGAAAGTTTTGTGGTTTCCCTAAAAGACGAAAGAAGTTGAGAAGGTTGCAGAGACTTTTTTGCAATCTTCCCCGTCCAGAAACACTAAAACCTCTAGGCGTTTGGCCCAGGGGAGCTATCTGGGGTCAAGGGAAGGGAGCGGGCCGCACATTCCTTCGCCCGCCTCCCCCCCACCTGGAGCCGCGGCCCCGCTGGAGCAGTGCACCCGAGCTGGTGCGGCAGCGCCGGCAGCGGCGGGGTTAAGCTCAGGAATGCGGCGGGAGGAATGCGTATGCAGATGAGGCGGGCGGGCGCATGCTAATCGCATGCAAATGAGGGGCCCGCCGCTGCCGAGGCCGCGCCGCAGCTTCCCGGATCCGAGCCCAGACGGCGGCGGCTCCGGCAGCCTGGGCGCCGCGACCCTCGGCGGCCACAGGGGGACGGGGCGGAGGAGGAGGAAGAGGCGGAGGCAGCGGCGGCGAGGGGGAGGAGGGTTCGCTCGCCGGCTCCGACGCAGACATGGTGGACTGATCCCCAGCGGGGCCGCGAACAGCGTTTCCTGAGACACCTCCCGCGCCTGGTTCCGCCGCGCCCCGCGCCCCTCAGCCCCTCGCCGGCGCCCGCGTCGCGGGTTGGCGGCCGGGCCGGGCAGCCGCGTTCCCGCCGCGTCCCGCGCCCGGTCCCTATGGAGGCGCCGTTCGCCGGTGAGGCCGCCGACCATGCCTAGGAGGGCCGGGAGCGGTCAGCTGCCGCTGCCCCGGGGCTGGGAGGAGGCCAGGGACTACGACGGCAAGGTCTTCTACATCGACCACAACACCAGGAGGACCAGCTGGATCGACCCCCGGGACAGGTGGGCGCCGGCCGCGGGGGCGCGGGCCCATTCGGACGCGGCGGCTGTTGTCCCGGAGACCCGGCCGCGCGGGGGGCGGGGGCGGTGCCGTCCCGCGGTGGTGCCCGGAGAAGTCCCGGGAGGGGTGTGGGGCTGGCTGCTCCGGCGGGGCCGAGGAGCCGCCCGTGCCCGGGGCCCTCCGCCCACCGGCTTCCCGACGCCCCTCCGGGGACCCTGCGACACGCCCCGCCCCGAGGCAAGGCTGGAGTCGCTGCCCCGGGCCGACGCCGCACGCCAGGCTAACGGACCCGAGGGGCCACCTGAGCCCTATTAGGAACTTTCCTAGGCTTCGAGGTGCCCACGTTGAGGCTGCAGGGCACCTTCGGCCTCTGGGCGGCGGGGTGGGCTAGGGCCTCAGTGCCAGGTGGGGAACGAGCCCTCCGGGCCACCTGTGGCATCCCTCAGGCCGTCCTTGGCGCCCGAGCCTGGACTGCGAGCTCTTGGCGGGGGCGCCCAGCCTGGCCGGAGGTCCCGAGCTGGGAAGGGGCTCCCGCCCCACGCCGGGCCCTGCTAGTGGGTGTGGCTGGCTTTGCCCCTCAGAGTTTGGAAACGCGCGTTTGGGGGTTTCACTGTCTGGCGTTAGTCTTCACCTGAAAACTTGAACCGACTCCCAGATCGTGAACAGGCATATTCTGTTTGGAAGGGAGATGTAGTGAAATGAACGTTGGGTATTGAGGAACTCTGACTTGAGCTTCCCCTGGTTTGTTTTTTGTTTTTTAAATTAGTTCAGGAACTGAAAGTTCACAAATGTTTCTGTATCCCATATTTCTTTTTACTCTTAAAATTTCTTAGAATTATTGTAAGAATAATAGGTATTCCTAATTATAAATTTGTAAATTATCCATTAAGGAGATATTCCTAATTGTAAATTTAAATAACGTATCACCAGCGATAACTTTGACATTTGGACTTTTGTCATTTCTGAAAATTATAACTTTTTATTGAATGTGGTGTTTGGGCTTTACAACCTTTTTAGGTGCTTCTATTTAACATTTTCCCTTTTCTCAATTTGAAGCTGAAATACCTAACTACTTTATATTCTCAGTTACTTTTGCCTTAAAAATGTTGTTTTTGAAAGCTACTAAAAAGCAATGACAAGAAAGTCATAAATAACATTATAAATGTATGGAACAATCCTTGTTCAATTATCCATGAAGCTATGGGCTTAGGTTTCCCTCCTGAAATGAGAAAAGGCACCTGTGCTGACGTTCGGTCTTGCCCAGCCTGGCTGCCTGTTGCTGGCCTGATGAAAATTGTGACAGGCATCACACCTTCCTTCACAGTCTTTCCAGACATGCTAGTTGTTGTCGTAAACTTCACGCTCCAAGCCAGTTATTTGACTTATGCCATTGCACTTTGAAACTACTTAACAGATAGTAAATGTCAGTGCTGATGGTGTGCACCCAACTGCGGCTTTTAAGGCACCTGTATAAATATTTGACTTTTACAGTTGTGTGGTAATTCTTTCTGCTTTCTGATACTTGGAGTTTCAGGTTATTGAAATAGCAATAAATTCTTGAAATATTTAGGCATTCTAGGTTTTCTTCTCCTTCAGTTTACATGTTTTACTGTATTATCTCATTTGTGTTTACCAGAAAGGATTACAAGAATATGTAATGCCTGGGTAAAGTAAATAGAAAGTGGAGTGAAATTATATGACTTGGCGTATCCATATCACTACTTTTTTCACGAGTCAAGCATGTCCTTTATTTTAAACTCTTAATGGATTAGTAATTATTATGAACTATTTTCAGGAAACTGGGTAAACAATTCATTGGACGGGGACAAATAGTTTTGACTAAGATAGCTTTTTATTTTTCCAATTTTCCTTGCAGCTGTTAGGTCTTAAATATTTAGAGAGATAAATTTGACGACTTACAAATATTTCTGGATCTCAGAGTTTTAAAAGATATTCTGTGAGATCAGAGTCACCATTATATACTCAGTTTAAATTTAATTATATTTTCTTTTAGGGCAATTAAGTGACTAAATCTTACTAAATAGAGTAAGAGATGATGGGAATGTATATTTGGAGTAACTATTAACTCTTGTCAGTTTTGTTACACACTTACCGAACATATGGAAAGAGAGATGTTACACAGGCCAATAGGAGTGTGTGGATTCTTCTGCAGGATCAACTTACAAATCCTGAAAGAAAAACAACTTGATATACTATGGGTCTGCAGGACTTTTGAACTATTTAAGCCATTTAGTTAGAATGGTCACGATGATTTACCTTGCGTATTTTTTATGTTATTCTGTTAAGGAAAAGAATTTTGTGTTTTTGATAGTCTATCAGAATTTGTCGAATATTTCTGATTATACAGATAATTATGCCGATTTAGTAGGGGAGGCTAGGGGATTTTATAAGAACATAATTTCATTCAACAAGTAGTCATGCCAGAATGCTGAAGCATTATTCTAAAATGCTTTTAAGCTTTTGGAGGTAAATGACATCATGCAAACTTTGCTGGGATGTGATCAAAGCTTTTATTGCTCCACCTCTTACTCTTATTGACTAAGTTTACGTGAGTTTCTGAATCCCTCTAAACCTCCATTTTTCAGCTCTAAAATGAGGATAATATCATCTTCTTCGTAGGGGTGTTTGTGGGCTCACCATTAGGGCCCAGCCTAATTGTATTAGTGTAGTGTTGACATTCTAGTTTAGGAACTGAGTGACCCTGGAAATAGTAGAAATGTTAGCATGGACAGTATTTACTCGGTGTGTATTGTGTGCTAGCCACTCTGCTAAGCTCTTTTACTGTGATCTCATTTCATTCTCCCATTGGTTCTATGAGGTAGGTACTATTGTCATCTTCCAGTCACAGAGGAGGAAATTGAGTCACAGAGAAGTAGCCCTTGTTAAGTGTGGAACTAGGATTTAAAGCCAGACAGCTTGACTCTACAGCATGTGTCCTTAATCGTTCCTTTAAACTGTCTGGACACTTGGGCATGTTCTCTTTGGGTGGAGTGCACGGGGGGGCAGAACCTTTTTGCCCGCTGTTTATTTTTCAGGCTGATTGACTAGGCTAATCCTGGGGAAATCTCCCTGTTTGTGATTAATTCCTTGTCCCCCTACCCTGCCTGCACGGGCCCACTCCCTGAGTGTTATTTTGTAGGTTTGCCTCCTCTTTTTTTTGCTCACCATGGACACCTTTTGACCATACCAGTTGGTGTTTATGGTAGGCCATAGGTCTTGGCCAAATGGCCTGGTGCTTTTTTTTTTTTTTTAATTACATTCAACAAAGTAGAAAAAGGTGGGATGGATTGGCTTCATTGCCTTTTGGAGGAGTAGGGAGCTAAAGTGGGCAGGCCTCAGAGATAGGGTGACTTGGCTTTACCAACTCCCAGTAGAATTTTGCTCATCTTCTATCCTTGGATTGAATGTTACCCAGAGATACATGACTTTGTCTAGTTGAACTGAAAGATTTCACACCATACAAAGTGACTTTCCATTAGACGCTCATCTGTGGCTTATGGCTAGGGTCAGATGTTGAGCAACCTGTACCTTCTAATTGAATAGAAATAATCTTGGGGGGTGGGAGGGTGAGAAGGGAGGAAGGGGGTGCCAGCTGGGTATATCATTGAAGTCACAGTTAACTTTTGGCTCTCCACACCGGTTTGAGGCATATGATTAGGATCTGAGGAACTCTGTATTGTCTTTTTTTTTTTTTTTTTTGAGACAGAGTTTCGCTCTTGTTGTCCAAGTTGGAGAGCAGTGGCGGGATCTTGGCTTACTGCAGCTCCCGGGTTCAAGCGATTCCCCCTGCCTCAGCCTCCTGAGTAGCTAGGATTACAGGCACCTGCTACCACGCCTGGCTGATTTTTTGTATTTTTAGTAGAAATGGGATTTCACCATGTTGTCCAGGCTGGTCTCGAACTCCTGACCTCAGGTAATCTGCCCGCCTTGGCCTCCCAAAGTGCTGGAATTACAGGCATGAGCCACCGTACCCGGCCTTGTCTTTCTCTTTATTTTCTTTTTCTTTTTTTTTTTTTTTGGTGCAGTGGCGCAATCTCGGGTCACCGCGACCTCTGCCTCCTGGGTTCAAGTGATTCTCATGCCTCAGCCTCCCAAGTAGCTGGGATTACAGGCACTCACCACCATACCCAGCAATTTTTTTGTATTTTTGGTAGAGGCAGGGTTTCACCATGTTGGCCAGGATGGTCTCCATCTCCTGACCTTGTGATCCGCCCACCTCGGCCTGCCAAAGTGCTGGGAGTACAGCCGTGAGTCACTGCGCCCAGCCTGGCCTTGTCTTTCTTTCAAAATCTAAGTAATTTCCTTTCTCTTTTTTTTTTTTTTTTGAGACAGAGTATCTCATTGTCGCCCAGGCTGGAGTGCAGTGGCACGATGTTGGCTCTCTGCAAGCTCTGCCTCCTGGGTTGAAGTGATTCTCCTGCCTCAGTCTCCCGAGTAGGTGGGATTACAGGCACCCGCCACCACGCCCAGCTAATTTTTTGTATATTTTTTAGTAGAGGTGGAGTTTTACCATGTTGGCCAGGCTGACAAACTAAGTAATTTCTATCAACCCACTGCTAGAGTGTAAACTCCTCAAGTCTGTGTTTGCATATTACTGCTTTTTGAATCCTTTATACATGGTAGATGTTAAATAAATGTTGGTTAATTTAGTTAATGAAGACAGTTTGTTGAATTAATGAAAGAATATTAGTTGAGCTACTCTCTTATTTCCAGTTTCTTACTGTTGGGCTTTCAAAAAATAAACCCATTACCACCAACAGAGACAACTGACCTTCCAGGTAGATTTAAAATAATGAGAGAATTGAGCTGCTACATTTTGAGTAATGGTATAAATATGAGAATTACTCATAAGAGCAAAAAAAAACCAAAACGAGCCTTGATAGTCTTAATCACAACTGCCATTGTCAGAGACTGCTGGAATTGTTCCTCTCCAGCAGGCTCTGAGTCTGGGTGCCAAGTGGTTACTGTGAATTACTTGAGT